AGCAGAGCAGTTGTGCAATAAAGCGTTTGATTTTAACCCATTAAATATCTTTATAATGAACAATGTTCCCCTGATTGGAATTTTTTCTGACTTTCGGTATGTTATTATTTGTATATTTCAGGAACGGATTCTGTAAAATATTTATGTTAAAATTATTCTGTGTTCATTATAATTTTGTCTAAAGATTGATTGGTTCGACTATAAAGCTAAGTCATCATAAAACTGAAAAATACTCAGATTTTGGATTGATTGATTGATTACCTAACAAACAGAGCCGTTGATAGAGAGTTTGGCCAACTCGGCGCATTGGCGCCATGTTCTCACCAAACAAATTATTATTATTACTATTATTATTTATTACTATTCATTAACTTTTTGATTTGTAATTTGTAAAAAAAATAAATGTTTTGATTTAGTGTATGTATTAAAACAATCATTATAATACAATTATTTTAATTTTTATCTTTAAAATCTTTTTAGTTACACAATTAATTGATTTCACAATTGTGCATGTTTGCATAGCACAGGACTTCTTGGACAAGTTTTTGCTTTTATTGGATGATTCAATTTTTTTTTAAATTATAATTTAAGCTACCTTTTACTGATACTTCATGTAGCTTTCTGGAAATTTAGTAATATAATTTAACAGCAAAGTGCAACATTGAATCTTTTTATAAATCATTGCTGCGTAAAAATCCTTCCTTTTTTTAAAATTATCATTGTAATTATATTTATAGTATTATAGGCCGATTTGAGTACTACCTTATGGTGTTAGGCCGAAAAAGTACCGGAATTTAGGCCTGTCTAGGCCTAGTAGTAGGTGATTATCGCCGCGAAGAGGGGTGGGCGGTAGATGCCTTATAATTTACTACGTGGATAACAAGATTTTTTGATCGCTATGCAAAGTTTAAATAAAATCCCAAATCCTCCTCCTTTTTGGAATTTAAGGAAATTGATACATTTTTGTTCCTTTGTTGGATCGATTGCAGCAAAAACCGAACATAATAGTATTTCACATTATATAGCATTAATCATCTATCATAATAACTGCTAACTTCCTAACGCTATCGCGTTAGTTTGTGGCTCGCCAATGTTTTGTTTTAGTGACAACATGGCGTCGCTACACGATCTTTGTTTGTACTGTATTTGTTTTCTCCTGTAAACGTCGCAAATAGGGGCCTAGTTGGTATCGATGATACTTACTGGTGTTTATTTCATGATTAGTCAGTTCTATATATTGATGTTAGCTTTCAAATAGAGGTATTATTGTCTATAAATCCTAACATACTTAGTTGAGGGTCTTAATTTTCGAGGTCTGATACAGTATTTCGAGTGGATTTGATATCTCGTAATCTTAGGTCTAGGTCTTACTTAGCTTTCGTTGGTAGGTAGGCCTAGGTAGCTCTGAGCTTTCAGGACACCCCCTGTTTGTGTCTCAATCAATCAATCTGTGAGTCGTGACGATTTACTGGCATAGCATAGCGCTGGACGTTTTTTTTTTGTTTTTTTTTTACCATGTCAAATATATTAATCTATAACCTAATTTTCAACTTATCAATAAATTTAATGATATATTGCTCCAGGCCTGGAAGCTGTATGAGCTTACCTACTAGGCAGTAGGCCTAGATGGAAAATGCTTGAGGAGGGCTTCACATGGCAGTGGTGAAACAGCCTGATGATTTCAAAGCACGCTTTAATAATCAATTTCAGAAATAATGACCATGATATCACTGTATGGTTATCTTACCAATGGACATCATATTTTTTTTTTTCTACAGATTAAAAATGACAAGAAATCAATCTGACTCATTGCCACCAAAGGAAAAAGATATACAGAATACGTCCAAGCTTGGTTCGCCTATATCATCACCACCAAACTACCACAGTACTTCTAAAGTTAAAGAGAATTTTTCTGCCTCTGAAACTGCACATAGATCGAAAGAAGAATTCACACGTGAATCAAAAGATGAGACACAAAGTCGCAGTGCTTTACTATGTAAGACTGCAGACCCGTTGAGTAAAGCTACCTCTGTTGTACGAGCATCACTGAGGTCAGTTTAATTGTAGATCATATTTTACTACGATTATTAACACAAATTTATAGCGTATTTTCGTTTGTAGGTTTAGTCATTGTTATTATTACTGTTAAATATTATTTGTTATAATATTATTTTTAAACAATTAGTTAAATGCTTGCAGTACACTACATAAATATTTATAAAAATTAATTCATTTGTCCAAATGGGGAAATACTTCTCGTATATGATTGTTGGATTCTTGCTGTTGATTGGTGGAAAACTAAACTGTGTAAAATGGCTAAGACAATAGCCAGTATTTACAGTCAGTATTCTGTATGAGGGTGTAGGTGGGGCGAATATTCTTCAGATATTCTTCTGGTGATGATTGAAGCCATTTAAAACATTCAGACATTATTATTTTAATATATTCATTGGTTGTCCATCAATTTTGAAGTTGACTGATAACCTTTCTTAGTTTAAACATATATCAATATTTTAAAATGCTTCCATTTTTAATTAAATTCTCTGGCAAAGTGTTACTGGTTTTTAGATAGTTCCATGGGTTAGTATTCTTATTTTTCTTTGAGAAAATTTTCAATTGTGTAAGACACTATGAAAGTCTATGTCTGTTACCATATTATATATATACCATTGCATTATATTACATTATTCCATTATATTAAAGGTATATGTAGATTTTTCATGTTATTACTAAATTATTTAGTCTTGAACTGAAGACTGTTACCGACCACAACGACTTAAAGTTGTCCCATGAGAGTGCTTCGCAGAAGGATAATTCCAGTCTGCAATTAGAATTGCACATACTCCCTTCACTTAAGAGGTAAGAAAATGACGACATTGTAATTGTCCATTCAGTAGGATCGACGACATGTCATAACCACATTCACTAGTCAAGGCAATCCTGTTTTGTATTTTTATTCACTTGTGATGAGTATTTATTGAATCTACAACAAAGCATAATGAACATGACTTTTAATATTTCACAATCATATCACAGTTGAATATCTGTATATTAAACCGATTATTATCATTATAAACCTGTAACAGGGACATTGACGCCTTCCTAAATTATTTACTTAATAGTCCCCTCAATATCATCTTGGCAAACGTTACTGTGGTTACAAAGATGGTGTCTTCCTGAATGCGAACAGTGACGATAAGCCTTATGACAAAGTCTAGATCATACATCCATGATAATTATATAAATGAACAGTCATTAATGTCTAACATAATATTCATATCATTTCTCAAATAAATCATTTGTCTTAATTCAAGAAACAACTAAATATTTATTTATTAATGTACTAAATGTGGCAGTCCAATATATAGCCGCTTTGCACATCCATACTCTAATTACAGTATAAAACATGTTCATGGCTTATTTGCAGTACGCATTTACTATGACAGTACATTATAACTGCCCATGGCAGCAAATGCGGTAAACGAACTGCCAACGGAGACTGTTTAAAAAATAATGTTACATACCTATAGATGTACAGTATATCCTCAGTGTATTTCTTACTATGTACTTTCTACATTTTTCAGTCTTTCAATAGAATGGGAAGATGCCTGTAAAAGTAGTGAAGTGGTGAGTAAAAGAATATAGTTTAAATGAAGGACTTATGCTGAGTCTTGTACCTTAATCATTGTAAACAGTAAATAAAAGAAATATATATATATATTTTAACAATGTTGGCTGTTCAAATATATGCAATTTTGATTAAATTTATTTTATCGTGTTCAGCCAGAGGAGTCGAGTAGTCCTGACACCCCACCCCCCCTGAAATTCAAAAATATGGTAAAAATTATACCCAGTAACTGAATGACAATGCAACAAAAACAAATTTGCCAACGAAAAATACATACCGAGTGTTGTACGCTCGCGTATTATTAGACAACGCCTACTACCCTTGTATGATCAGATTCTGACATAAGCAATTACAAGTTGTACTCAGAATAATGTTTTTCATTGGACAAAACTGTGTTTTTGAGTTTAACCTAAAGATGAAGAGACAGTCAATGCCGACAACATTTTTTTTAGCCGAAAAGGCCAACGATAAGAAGGTACTAAAATATTTAATTTCTGTATGTACATGTGATTCAGAGTCGCAGCCAGAGTGTAGGAAGGCAGTCGAGGGAGCTGTGATCTTAGATTAATCAAAATTTTCAAAAATATCCCGATTATAGTAGTAAAATGGTCAGTAAACTAATGTGAAAAAAAAATATTTGAAATCTAAGCCAGCCTCCTTTGTATTATGATTACAGAGTAACCGAGTGATCTTGCCTCAGACCCAGCTAGCACACCATGTCAGCTACAACTCTTAAATGTTGTGCGTACAGTAATAATTAAATTAAAGTTGGAATAATAAACATTTAGTTGCAATCACAGTAATTCACTGGTTACTTTTATTGAGGTAGCAAATGAAAGAACTGTAAATTATTACAGTATTATTATACAGTAGTCAGTGGTAAGTGTAAATTAACTCTTCCCTGATGTTATACAGTTTAACCTCCCTGTGTGACCACCTCTTGTAAGCCATACCTCCCTAACGTCAACTCATAATAAGGTCCATTTTGTTCTCTATCTAATCAGTGCAGTTGATACCTTTCATAAGAGGTTTTATAGAAATTAATAAAACCTCAATTCTATTTTTATCATGTAAAATGATGCAAATGTCTAGGACTTGCACCCTGAGCGGGGGACCCTTGTCTGCCCCTCTGGCCCCAGCCTACTTGCTCCATGTGCTCGCTAGGCTTGACCCCTCAAATTTTATCCTTGCTGCACCTCTGAACATGGCTGAACCAGGATGCTGGAAAGGTGCAATAGGGTAAGGGGATCCGGGGCCCTCTTTAAGATAATCTTTTTTTCTTAAATGCCCAGAAACATGCTTTTGTGCAATCAAAAAATTCTGTTGGCCGGATGTACAGCAATATCATCTAATTACTCTCTATTTCATGAACACAATTTTTATTGATGATATACCGTACTCGCGCGAATAAGCGCCCCGTTTGAATAAGCGCCCCTCTCGAATAAGCGCCCCTCTCGAATAACCCCCTAACGTGAAAATTTACTTAAGCGCCCCATTTGAATAAGCGCCCACTTCTAATTTGAATAAGTGCCCCTCAATAATTTCATAAGATCTTCTTTTTAGCAAGTCAATAATCCAATCAATCCTGGGACTGTGGTTGTTGGCATGATTTGAGCTGCAGAGTGGAAACACATTCTTCATAGGTCAATATCAAAATGAGTATATTTCTCTGGATTGATGGGAGCTCCAACCCCTGGATAGACAGTATATTTCCAACTTTATTCTTTTTACATACAGTATGTTTATGCCTAGTCCTACTCTTTTTCTTTTCCAACCTTTAGCACATTCTCATTTAAGTTTTCAAGAAAAAAACACAATGATCCAGCCATCCTGCTAATCTCAATCGGCCGATGGCCAACAAGCTAACCACACCCACCATCACTAATTGCATCACTATTATGACATTCACACATTCTTGTCATGAGCCATGTTCTCAGGACGATTATCTTTTCTGCCTAACCACTATTTGTAATGTCCTTAATCTTCTTTTCATTCAGAAAGTGCCTCTTGAATTTAATAATTTCCCATAAAAACCCTTCGATTTTCATCTTTTTCCATAAGCGCCCCCTCAATTTCCACTCTGTTTTCACAAGCGCCCCGTTTGAATTAGCGCCCATGAGAAAGTGCAAAAAAATATTTTAAGCACCCGGGCGCTTATTCGCGCAAGAATTAGTATGGTAATTATGAACAATTTTTTGTTGCTATAAAACACTTCTAATTGTACTTATAAATCTTCAGAAAAATGATACATCAGCCAAAAAAATTACTGGGACATTATTCATTTTAATGATTATAAATTAAAATTTAGTAAGAATAATTAATGGATTGTATATCGATGAGAGTTTTGATGTGTATGGTGAATAAAAGAATGATTTCTCGCATATTTCAGACTGAATTCCAGACCCAACAACAAGAGGAGTTGGAACATACCAAACTACACCTCAGCCATAAAATTAGCCTTAAAGAATCCCATCAGAGATGTGACAGTCTTTCAAATGATGCAGAGCAACTTGAACATAACAAGCAGCAGTGTACATCCCTTAGCACCTGCTTGAAAGAATCTCAGCAAAAATCTGAAAGCCTACAGCATGAAGACAAAATTGCTGAACAGCAGGCCAAGTTGCTGCAGACTGAGAATGATCGCTTAAAAGATGAGCCGAGTTCAGTAAGGTCTGAAAAGGAGAAAGTATCAAAAGATCTTGTAGAGCTGACACAGCAACTTCAACTTAGCAAGCAAGAGTGTACATCCCTTAGCACCAGCTTGAAAGAATCTCAGCAAAAATCTGAAAGCCTACAGCATGAAGTCAAATCTGCTGAACAGCAGGCCAATTTGCGGCAGACTGAGAATGATCGCTTAAAAGATGAGCCGAGTTCAGTAAGGTCTGAAAAGGAGAAAGTATCAAAAGATCTTGTAGAGCTGACACAGCAACTTCAACTTAGCAAGCAAGAGTGTACATCCCTTAGCACCAGCTTGAAAGAATCTCAGCAAAAATCTGACAGCCTACAGCATGAAGTCAATTTGCTGCAGACTGAGAATGATCACTTAAAAAATGAGCTGAGTACAGTAAGGTCTGAAAAGGAATCTTTGGCTGCAGTAAAAATTAGCTCTGAAGAGGAGGTGGAGCAAAAGGACCAAACTATTAGAGAAGGTGATGAAAAAATGAAAGTCATTTCACAAAAGGTGGATGCTGTGCAGTCTGAAGTCACTAAGAAACTAAGTGCTGTGGAAGAACGGCAGAGGGATTCTGAGAAAGAAATTGTTAATTTAAAGGAGAAGTTAGTTTTTTTTTTCTTTTTCTTTTTTTTATTGGCCGTTACAATTCAATGTATTACAGATAAAGTTTCTTTTAAAATCTTGAAAACCTTGCAATTTGTATTTAAAACAAGCTTGTGATGCCTTGCAAGACTGGCCAACACACTCAAAAAGCTAAAGCCTTGTCCAGACTAAAATTTTACTTGACGAACACATGTTACATATGGTCATGATGACATCACATCATGACCATATATAGGCGTACAAAAGTTTTTGGTCAAATAAAATTTGATAGTCTGGACAGGGTTTAAGGTATTACTTATTTTGTAAAAATATATTCTTTTTTCTAAGAACAGCTTTAAATTCTTCAACCATTAATATGGGTAACCAGTGGTTCTATTACCCCAGGATGTATAAAGTGAGTGATTGCGTGAACTCCAATTGGTGGCTGTGGTTTAGGCTGCTTTTGTGCTTTCCTAGCAGCTAATGCTTAAAGCTACAAAGCAGAAGCAAACAAAAAAGCAAAAACAAACTGAAAAGCAGTACAAGAGAGAACACGACAGTTATAGTGAGTCTATTTTTACATATCATTCAGTATTATGCAACTGAAACTTTGTTTCCATACAGTTTCTACACTACAGTGTTTTCAGTGCAAACGCTGTACTGCGAAGCAGTCCCTGACACAATCAGGAAGGATCCCTGATTCGACCAATCAATCAGCATCACTGAAAGCTGTTGGTGATAGCGTGTAGTGATTGTATGGAAACCTAGCTTGAGACACTATTTATTTTTATATTTTATTATATTTTATTTATTTTATTATATTTTTTTTTAAATTATATTTTAGGTTTTATTTTATCTTATCTTCCAAAAGGAAAGGAAGAATTTAATTATCTTGCAATATCAAAAGTGCTTGGACAGTGTATGAAAGCATGTGTGTTCAACGATGTGTACAGCCTGGTTCATGTCGAACTTTTATCTAGATATACATCCACTTAACTAGTTAAAAGTTCAACGTGAACCACTCAATTATAGCTAGATAAAGGCTTAAGTGACTTAAAGTTAAGTGACTTAACTTTACTAGAATAACGGTAAATTAACTTGCTTAACAGTAAAGTCGGCTCGGATTACAAGGACACGATTACGTAACGTAGGCATCTAAACCAGCGTTGTTGTACTCAACGTACTCCAACAGTGCTAACAACAGCATCGAAGTAGTCTCATTAGTCTGGTTTTCAAAAATTATTTGTAATATTAATGGTGGAAACCCAGCAAACGTCCGTTTTACGAATAGTTGATATTACCAATGACCTTTGCCCTTTGCATCATCGACCAAGTAATAACGTTAAAAAGTCCGATTGCTGATTTCTTAATAATAAAATAAGATTTGTTGTATTTATTTATTGACAATTCGATCTTTTCCATTTCTGCTATAATAGTCGCTATTAATTCAGTTTCAACAAACTACCACCAAAATGAGCGCACATGTTTACGATGACGAAATAAAAAAGTGTGTAGATGTTTTATTAAACAACCCTTCCCACCGTGTGACGTCGACGGCCTGACGGCTGGCTGTTTATCTGGCTCTAACTTGGCATCGAACGCAATTAGGGGATTATCGTATCATGTTTCAAGACGGGTATATCTAGATAAAGTTCGACGTGAACCAGGCTTATGTGACAGTTACACTTGAAAATGGTTAAAGCCCTGATGCCTGCATATTAACATTACTAAACATCATAAACTGTTTATTGGCATAAATTTTAGTTTTGCACTTGAAAAGAGCACTATTATCCTAATGACTTATTTTTCAAATTCGGAGGCTTCTTGCTTTGTGAACCTGTCCCATTCTTTAATTTAAATCTCATCGCCACTGCCATGAACTCTTCTGATAAGATAGTTTAAATAACCCCACAATTAAATAAATAAAAAGCATTTATCAATCCAATATACTCAACTGTCAATAAATTTCCAGTGAAAAGAAAGTACTGTATGCTCTCTCTGATTAGATTTTTCTGTACCTCGCATAGCATTCAAATGAATAGGCCTGTGATTACATTTGTTAAGTTGTCAAAATCTGTCAAAATGGATTTCAGAACGGGTGGGCTGTGTTGCTAGAGAGGTTTTTGCCGGGTTGAAGGATTTTCATGTACCTAGATGCAGGCCTCGAATTTGGGGATTTTATGGGCCAGGCCACATGGCCTCCGGTATGACATGATTTTGAAAGGCACCAAGGCCAAATGGAAAGGCATCAAGGCCAAAATTTCAGGTATAAAAGGGCACCCAAGGCAAAATTTGATTTAGCCTCAGTACTAATTTCTCGCGAGTGTCTTGATTCGTCGTAGCCAGGCTGGGCAAGCTAGGCCTAGACCAAGCCAAGCTAGGCTGTCATGAACTAGATTAGCCGCGCTGAGTGTCAACCAATTACGTTAATTTCACACACTTAAGCTGCGATGACGTAAGATCGCCCAAAGTTAGCTGCACAGCAAGCACATGTTTACAACTGCAGTACAAAGGCTGTATTCGACTGGTCATTCTTCATTAAGCCAGGCCCAACTGTGCAGCGGAACATCTTACACTCAACACCGAAGACGACCAGTCAAACAGAAAACTTGTAAATACTCGACAAAACAAAATGGCTGTATAGTTACCGCGATACATGTTGCGTAATCAAGATTGCTTCAACTTGTGGTAGTATGGGTTTTTTCCAGTTTTTCTATTCTGTTAGCCTACAATTATTTTTTGACTCCATGTGGGTAAATATTATAATGTTCATTTTATGAAATTTAATCTAAGTTATATTAACGCAAATGTTGTTTATAAACTCACCAATCGGCCATGTTTCTTTTTGGTCACGTGGATAACTTAACGCTGATTAACGCACTCTGGTTTACGTTAATTTTAGTTGTCTATTTAACAAACCAGTCAAATGAAAATAATACTCAACGAAAATTTGTTCCAACGAAATGAACCAGTCGAATGAGCCCATGTTTATTGCAATAACCACTCGAGTCAGACGCATGCGCACACAATGGTAACCGCAAACAGTATCAACACACATGGAAATTCTCTCATGTTTTGTCACTGCAACCTGGCTTAGGCGACCTACGTTTTTGGCTTTCGTGTTTTCTTTCAAGATTTAAACGTTCTTACGTCAAACGATCTATATAAAGCATTGTGAGGGCACCGAGGCCAAGGCTTCAAAAGGGCAGGCAAGTAGTGGCCGTCGTCGTGCTTCATTTTCAGGGGCACCAAGGCGAACTGGAGGGCACCGTCGGCAATGGCCGCAGTAAAATTCGAGGCCTGTAGACGATTGGCTGGTGGTCGCAAATTTCAGAGCGACTCTGTTGCTTCATCTAAGCATTGTCATAAACATGACGGAAGCCGTAGGGTTCATTATCAACCAGGAAAACTCGGTTCTTGTTCCCACTTAATTTCCGCTGTATCTGGGGGTGCAGATCGATCTTGTTCTAGTTTGAAAATTAATTCTATAAATGCAACTGAAACAAATAGAGAACGAAAGAAAGATTCCAAAGACAGCCATATTCATATTTTGTTTAAAACTTTCAGAGGAAGATGCCCAGAAATACCAAGGAAATTTTAAGAGAATTACAGACTTGTCAGAGAAGGTAAGCAGATGGATTGTATTCACTATCTTGTTTCAGATTGTTTGTATGTGATGTCATACAGTATCTGTCCATAATGATTTTAATTTCCCCATGTTACATGACAAACAAAAGTATGGAAACATGAAATTGCATATCGGTTTTCCAATACTACAAAGGGGGACCCAAAATATCTTACATTTGCATCATCTCTTTAACATAAATAGTTGGTAAAATATGGTATAATTTGCACTGTTTTTGGGTGTGTAAAGAAAAGAATAAAAATGAGTTATCAACCCACTTGACAGTTTCTTGCCAATTTCTTATACTACACTGCACATCAGCTGTCAGGTCTGGGCCTA